GCAATACACACTGAACTAGGATATAGAGCAGAAGAACTGAACATTTTATTAGGCCAGATATCTCGGATGTTCGATGAAACTATGACTCCAAATCTCCAAACCAAGGCATCAAATCCTGTGAGGGTTTTTGTTTTTACATCAATCTCTCGTTCTTTTTTTTTTAGTCATTTTTGTAAATATAACATTGTTGTAAATATAACATTGTTGTAAATATTACTCACAGTAAGTGTAGTATTTTTTACTTGACAGTTCTCTATATAAAGAAATGATAGCTTTAGGCTTATAATGTATGTTATAATACAATGATATTTTGTAGCTTCGTTAATCTATTTATACAAGAAGCCATATGACCATCACCCCATGGGTATGGATCAGTGGTTCTCAGGAGCACTTGTATCACCTGGGAGCTTGTTGGAGATACAGATTTTTGGACCTTAAATATACCTTTTGTTGTTGTTAAAGTGCCATCGAGTTGATTTGACCGACAGCGACCCTGCATAGGGTTTCCAAGGACTATCTGGCGAGCTTGAACCACCGACCTTGCAGTTCAAATGACTTTGCAGTTTGACACATTAGCCTACAGCACCACACTAGGACTCCTAAATACAGCTAGTGAACCCAAAGCCTGAGTTTTAACAAGCCTTCATGTGACTCCTACTCGTTTTGTAGATGATAAAATTGGTGTTCCAGGTAGTAAAATGGTTGACTGAATTGCATAGCTTTCTAATTTTCGAGGTTTACTCAAATGCAAGTTTTCTGCTTATAACTCATGTGATCGCCCCTTCCCTTTGAGAAAGGTGTAAAGGAATCGTGAATTTAAAAAGTTGGAAAGAAGTAGCTCTTAATTAAATTGAGAAAGAGACCATTTCACTGCTTTCTAATAATGAGAGTGGGTTGTTAAAACTATTAACAGAAGAAGATTAACCTAGAAAAAGTTTTAATGATACAAGTAAGGGTTCTGTGTTCCTGTGCATTGAGTTCCTCATATTCATTTTAGTGGGGGAGAACAGGATGTACTTAAACCCCAGAGGGGTGGCTGTTGCATGGTAATGGAAGTGGAAGGCACTATTTTCATCATCAAGTTCTAGCAGAAAGATCATTTTTCCACCTGGGTGTTTCCCACACCACATTACCCACACTGATAGTACCCCGAGGTGGGTTTCCTACACACATAATTTTACACACGAGTAAGAGAAGTGTCGTAATCACTTTGGTATTAGAATGGCTCCCTCAGGCAGCTGGCATTAGCTATCCCAGTGTGGATTGGGGAATGAATGTTTCCTCTTAAGCAGAAAATAGAAAATAGTTTTCATTGTCTGTAATGTAAAGTCTGTATATTGCTGCCTGGTAGGTGTAGTCTTTTATGAACTCAGTTTGGGGCTTTGTGTGTATAAATATGAAAGTCTAGTTTAGGGCTATTGTTTGTTCAACTGGGAGGAATTTCCTGGAATAGAAAATGTAGCCAAAAAATTAGGTAAACTGATGGCGTATATGTGAATTTTATTGTACATGTATATAAAACTCATGCAACATGTAGAGAAAAATGCCACAAATATCAATAGTAGTGCTTTTATGTATAATTGAAAAGAGAATGCCAATGCAAAAACCAGCAAATCAAAATGATATTGATTACAGGAAGGATCATTCCCACCCCCCTCGTTACACAGGATAGACAGGGATGGGCAACTTAGAAATTGGCTACCTAAAATGGGGGTGGTGGGGGGTAAAGGCAAGAAGTGACTGGCTTACAAGCTTTCAAGAGGGAACATAGTTCCAGAGGGTGCAGGGGAAGGTAGAATTCCAACCTGTCTGGATGGGGCTGATGAAAGGAGATGGGGATAAAACTCCTGTGGTTCAATAGTGAATAATTGCTATCAGGACTAACTATGAGAGTTGCAAATGTAAAGGTAGACGTTTTGTAACAAAAAGAATGGAGTAGTTGATCTTGCAGTCCAGCAGCAGAGGACCCTGGGACCATCAAGGGAGAAGAGCACAGTATGGGTCCCTATCCAGAGAAGCAGTGATGCCAGATGGAGGTAGAGACAATGATGTGGAGAGATGGAGCGGCTGAAGACTCTGGACTCAGGGAGGAAGAGGGGCTGTGTGCTGACGGCCAGGGGACAGGCTTGTTTGATGATGCATGGAAGGGATTGTAATCATTGCAATAAGATGAAATACGATAGGATGAGCGTAAAACTGATACTCTCCCATGTAAACTATCACTCAATTCACAATAAAAACTAAAAAAAAAAAAAAAAGATATTGAATATTCTCTAGATCCCAGTGCAAGAGTGGCTTGTAGTTTCCTTTACATCATTCAGCCTCTGTGTATTTGCACCTGAAACACACCTTAATTACAATGTTCATTCTGTTGTATTGGCTGAAATGATACTAACTTTCTGTGAATTGTATATCCAAAGTGCACTTTTAAATTTCTTGCTTAAGAGTATAATAATTGTTTTTATTTGTGAGCTCCTCAAAACCAAGGGTTTCCTCATTTATTTAGTTAGGTTAACACTCAGTACCTAGCAAGTTGTTGAGACATAGGATTCCAGTAAATAATGATTGCATAAATTCAATCTCTTGGATAATCTCCTCAAACCAACAACTCCATATTGAATCATCCTTTTGCCCAAACTTCTTAGTCACAGGAAAGTTTACAACTTCCATCTTTCTTTCAATCAGTTATACCACTATAGTAGCTCATCTCTTTATCATCTCCACATGTACTGGTGGTGGTGGTGATGTGCCATGGAATTGGTACTGACTCATAGTGACCCGGTACAGGGTTTCTGAGGCTGTTAATCTTTACGGGAGCAGAAAGCCTCATCTTTCTCCCAAGGAACAGCTGGTAGTTTCGAACTGCTGACCTTGTGGTTCGCAGACCGATTTGTAACCACTACGCTGCCACATGTACTAGCTCTCCTATTTCCCACCTCTCCACTCAGCTCTCATCTTCTAGATTAATATTCCTCAAGCTCAGTTCCATTCATGTTGTTCCTTTTCCAGCAGATGGTTTGGAGGTTGTGGATGTGGAGTTGTTCAACCTCCTCAAGTCTGGTTTTCCACTGTTTTACTATCCTTCCTTCATTCCAGAGAGGGGTGCTGGTGCTAGGATGCTCTGTTGGGCTTATTGGATGGGTTTGCTTTCCACTGGAGAGATGGAAACTCCAATTTATATTGAAATGAGTATGAATAGTGGAGTCCTGGTGTGGCTCTATGGTTTAATGCGCTAGACTGCAAAGCCATTTGAACTGCAAGGTCAATGGTTCAAGCTCACCAGCTGCTCCTCGGAAACCCTATCCAGGGTCACTATGGGTCAGAACTGACTTGATGGCACTTAACAACAACAACAACAACAACATGAATAGTGGAGAGGGAAGAGATAGGAGAGCTAATTGGACCCTTACTACACTGAATGGAGGAGTGGCATTGTAGGATAAACCACTGGACCACAAATTCAGTCTGCACCACACAATTGGTAGTTTTAACTCACCAGCCGCTCCTTGGAAACCCTACACAGGCTCGCTATGAATCGGAACCAACTCCATGGCACTGAACAACAACAGCAAACTGAGTGGAGAGGTGAGAAATAGCAGAGCTATTTGGAGCTTTAGTATACTGCAGCAAGATCAACCTAAGTGCAGGAGTAAATCAGATAATTTTGCTGCAGACATTTTAGTTTGGAAAAGTTGTCTGGGAACACCAGCTGCCAGTATGTGGGGACTGGGAACTGTAAGAAGTTACAGCCACTCATCCACTCCTGTCTAGAAGGCTTAGGGAAGGCTCAATTATGGTGCAGTGCCTCCTGCTGGGAATAGGGGAATTAGATTTTTCTCTCCCAATTGACTCACTCCTTAGTAAACCAGTGGAACATTTGGAGTTATATTTGTACAACTCTGCTCACTGTAGGTGATCTGGCCTTGGTGACTTCTTAGCTGGCCTGTCAGGGTTTCCGTCTATCAGCCAAATATCTCATTATAGTCACATTTCCTGTGAATTCATGTGTTCTCTCCTCCAACCAAATAGGGTATTTGATGTCCCCATGTGGATGTTCTTCCTACTGCCACTGTATCTTTGCTTGTGTTACTTCTCACCCTTAGTTTCTCCATCTTTTCTTCCCTGCTGCACCTATTCCTTGAAGTTTTCTCCATTTCTAACTGCCCAAAGGCCTCTTACTGTCTAGTTTCTCAAAGTTCTACCAAAACTCTGGTACTTCTTTTCTGGCTGTTTGCTTATGTTGTACGTTTTCACTGTGATACAATTCCACCTTCCCACTAACACCCTTGTCTCCATGCTCAATAACTCCTCCATGAGCTTTTCTCTGAGTCCATTGGGAGAAACTATCTTTGTGCTGCTGGTCCCTCATAGCTGTAAATTTGACATTAATATGCAGTCCTTTGTCTTGGACATATGCATTTCTTTATTTCTGTTCTTGATGGCAAGTTCATCCACACCCTACAATAACGTGCATGTTGTAGGTGTTCAATAATACATAGTAAATAAATGATCAACATGGGAGGTATGGGTGCAAAAGAACAGGAGGATTGGGGTGGGGGGTAGATCCATCTATTTACCATAGTCAGGTGAGCCAGGTATGTATATAAACTAATAGAAAAATCTCTTTTGACATCCTTGATGCCCATCCCTACTCCTGAATTCTCACCAACATATGGGATGACTCCCAAGATTATATTTCAGCAGTCGAACAGTAAAGCCTTAGGAATGGTTCTTAGGATAGACCCAGCACTCAGATCATGGACATATTCAATATATCCCTTCCAAAATGTGGTAGAATATATAGTAAACTGAGAGACAATAGCTTTTCATTTCCTTCCCAAATCAATGAACAAGTGATGTAAGATGAAAAATATCCCAGCCACAGGAAAGTCTTAGGTGGGTTTCAAAATGATACTATCTCTTTGAAAGTGATGTCAATGATATAAAACAAACAAAAAGATCAGAATGGGTTCTTAATGATTTCGCTTTTTGTCTTCCAGGAGACGGAGCTGTTAGATCTCAGCCTTGTCAAGGATGCCAGATGTGGGAAACATGCCAAAGCTCCCAAGGTAGGAAGCAGAACTTTGTGCACACACCAGATGCTACCTTGATTATTTAGCTCTGTCACGGTATAAATTAATTGCCTCAATTAAAAATTTCTCTGTTGTAGATGTTGTAAAACACACAATAAAACAGCCAGTCATTCCCAACGCTAATATGTACTTGTGCACTAGGGTAACACTTCCACTTTTATTAAAATGACTGAAATAGCAAATGTGTGGACAGTTGGGCATAAGGGATTGCTTTGTGCCCTCTTTTGAGTTTTTCTTTGAAAAATCAAAGTTTTCCCGTATTTCTAAATAATTAAAATGTGTTTAAAATCCTTTGAGCCTATTAAGTGTGTATGTATTAACATTATGAAAGAGACCTTACAGCTCAAATGCTTTGCGGTTGAATAATTCAACCCATGAAGTCAGAGGGTATGAAGTTTTATTTCCGCAAATGTTCTGAGTGAATACCAGTGTACTTTGGGATCAGTTATGTAGAATGGCATTTGTTTTGGTTTGAAAAACTTTCCAGAAGAGAGTATTTGAAATGTTGTTTCCACTTTATTCTTTTTGAAGAGATTTCTGAAAGGTTAAATGAAGATTATGCATATGTTCTTTTAACTTGATTATCTAGTAAGAGATACTAGGAGGATGTGTTTCAAAGTGTACTGTATCCAAAGTTTAGTGCTTTCAATATTTCATTTCTAGAATGGGGAATATTGACAAATAGAGATAAGAACTTGGCATTTAGAAATTTCATGCCACTTTTAATAATTTATAAAAAAAAAAACTGTTGATTTTTCCATTGGAGCATCTGCTTGAAAATTTGTTGGTCTTTAAAAGTCAAATTGCATTCTTTGACATCTGAAATGATCTGTTGCTTTGGAGATGGAGGGGGGAGGTATCCACCTGCAATGATTGTATCTTTAGATTCATGCATAACAAGGCAGTCGGAAGTCGGTTCTGGCAAATTATACCATAGAACAAATGCTCAGACTCTGCTTTATTGCTTAAAAGGCTAAAATGATCTCCAGGAGAATATGAAAAATAACAAGAAAGGAGGCTGTTTTTTTTGTTTTTTTTTTTTATGTTTCTGTAAGTGTTTCGTGTGAAACTAGTCAATTATTTATGGTACATCCATCTCTCTGTGATATAATGCAATTTCAGAACTGTGGTTTTTCAGTTTCATTTCAAAGAGGCTTATCAAAATTAATGCTTTGATGATGATTCAGAAATTATTTACAGTTTTTAGTGTAAGAAAGTGTCATTTTATTTTCCTTTTCTTCCAATCACACTTCAGCCAACTCTCATAGAAGTCTGTTAGTTCCAGGCCCTTCAATAATAACGTAGCTGTGAAATTTGTCATTTTAATCCTAATATTTGCTCAAAATAGTTACCCACACCACTTCAGAACCCCTTTAGCTGCAAGCTTTGGGGAGTCAAATGAAGGGTTTCTTTCATGCATGAATCTGTCTCTTTTATTGCAATACACAGTTGCTTATCAACTAAGTGTTTCGTTTATGGGTTCAGTCAGAATGTTAATAAAGAACAGAATCAGTTTCTGTATTGTGCTTAGATGATAAACTGCTATTAGATCTGTAAATACTTTTCTTGATGATGGATTTTAACACTCAGAATATTCAGACTTTTTACTGTTTTATCCACCAGCTATTTCTTATGAGGGACCAATCTCTTTTTCCTTGGATTATCCATTTTTCTTTTTAAACGTTTTTTTCATTATTGTTGCTATTGTAATTTATTTGTTTGCTGTTATTTTTGTTTTCGCTCTAATGCTTGCTACTCTTAAAGAACCCTCGTTTTTATATTTTCAAAGCCTGGTTCTGTGCCATATTGTATCACTTTCTTAATCGTCAGCCTTCTTCTTCTTTTGTGAAATTAGGATCATAATAATAGTGCTTATTTTAAAAAGTTGATAAAAGGATGAAATGAGATAATTCATTAGCAAACATTTAGCACAGAATCTCTCACATTTACTGCGTATGAAATCACCTAGGGAGCTTTAAAAAAAATGCTGATGCCTGTTTTCCATTCCTAGAGATTCTGGAACCACAAGAATCTTACTGATAATAAGCTCAGTATGTATTGAATTTTTCAAACCAAATCTGCAGCAAAATTTGAGAGCCACTACATATTGCTGGTATATAATGAGTACTCAAACCCACCAGCCACTCCTCAGAAACCCTCAGCAGGGTCACTCTGAGTCAGATTTGACTTAGCAGCACTTAACAACAACTAAGTGTTGGAGTGCAAATGGCTAATGTGCTTGGTTACTAACTGAAAGGTGAGAGTTCACAGTCTACCTAGAAGTTCCTTAAAAGATAGGTTTCACTATTACTGAAAAATCAGTCATTAAAAACCCAATGTAACAAAAACTCAAAATCATAAAAGAAGACCAGGTTTACTGATCAGATAGAAACCAGTGGAACCTCAGAGACTATAGCCCTTAGCCACCATTCGGGTCGGGTCTGGAAATGAACTAGCCCTCAGCCAACACTAGGCAGGTCTATAAGGAGAACTATAGCAGTAGGAAAGTACTCAGCCCTTAGAGCAATCAATCATTTGAGACAAAAAAGCAGCATTTACCCAAAGACACTTTTTAGAAGGGTTAGGAAAGAAGGAGAAATGGAAATAGGAAACATAGGGAGGAAGTGGGATAAATGATGATACATTGTGGGAATTACAATCAATGAGATGAAACAAAATGTGTATGAGTTGAATGGAAAACTGATTTGCTCTGTAAACTTTCAGCCAGTTCACAATAAAAAGTTAAACATTAAAAAAAACAAAAACAAAAACCCAATGAAGCTCAGTTCTCTTCTGACACACATGGTGTACTGTGAGTCAAAATTGATTCAGCTGTAAGTGGTGAAAGTTAGACACTGTTGTTGGTATAAGTGGAGAAAAGGTTGACATGTTCTCAAAGACTTCATGTTGATTGCTTAGATCCACAATCAATACTCATGGAAGTGACAGTAAAAAAAAGTAAATGACATATTGCAGTAGGCAAATCTATTGCAAAATACCTCCTTAAAGCTTTAAAGAGCAAAGCAGGCACGTTGAGGATTGAGCTGCATCTGAACAAACCATGGTATTTTCACTTGCCTCATATGCGTATGAAAGTTGAATGATGAGTAAGGAAGATTGAAAAAAGAATCGATGCAACTGAATTATGGGGTTGGAGAAGAATACTGCCAGTACTATGAGCTACCAGAAGAAAAAAACAAATCTGTGTTAAAAGTCCAGCCAGCATGCTCCTTAGAAGCCAGGATGGCAAGATTTCATTTCTTGGACTTTGTACACGTTGTTAGAAGGGACCAATCCCTGGAGAAGGACATCGTGCTTGGTAAAGTGCAGGGGCAGCAAAAAAGAGGAAGACCCCCAATGAGATGGATTGGTACAGTGACAACAGCAGCAGACTCAAACACAACTACCATTGTGGGAATGGCGGAGGACCAGGCAGTGTTTCCTTTTGCCGTGCATAAGGCCGCTCTGAGTCAGAACTAACTGGATGGTATCTAACAACAACAACAACTTCGTTGGTATAATCGTCATTATTTTTTATTATTACTATTAAGAAGTTCCTGTCAGTTTTTAAGGTGTAAGCTTCCGTTTTACTCAATGTTGAAAGACTTGTGTAATAAAAAGGGGTTTAAGGAGGGGCTTTGCTAAAAGGGTCTTTTAGTATTTGACAGTAAGAAGTAGGTTTATATCGATGTCAGTTTCAAAAATCTTTAAGTTGTCAAAGAAAACCGCAGCTCAAATTTCCTTAAAATTTATAAGAAAATTTATTGAAGATGATTGGATGTATTTTAAGTATTTTTGTGGAAGCACTGAGTTCAGGTGAAGTTTTGTCCAGCTGCTCAAATCATGTTTGAAGACACAATGACTCCTTATTGCTCTAATCTGGCTCCCATGAGCTGCCTTCTTTATGCTCAGGCACCCCATGGTGGTGACTCTCTTCAAAAGACCCTGGCTTGGACTTCCGGCGCTTCCCGGACCAGGCAGTTCAGATAGGGCAGGCTCTGGGGAAAGGGGGCGGAATCGCACATAGGAAATCTCTGTCTAGCAGACAGACAGCCTTTGAGCAAACATAAGATCTTATATTTCAACATTCTGAACTCGTTTTTTTGAAAGATAAATTGCTGAGGAATTACAGGCATTTTGAGCTTTTGCCTGCCTGCACGCGGCTCCCGCTCCCTGTACCTGCGCCAGTGCTGGCTAGTGCCTCTGCCCCCCTTGGACCTTGAAGTGCAGGGCTAGAGCAACCCCATTTAGAAGGCTGCATTTCCAGAGAAAAGGAAGCATAAACTGGCAAAGCCGAACAAATACAGAGGGAGATCGGCGTGGATATCAGGAAATTCGGGGTACCCACGGTACAGAGAGACTGAGGCATTTTTTACGTCATCAGATACATGCTCACTGAGGCCAAGGCCTGCCCTGAGGCCCAAACCGCCCACAGACTGGTCACAAAGGCCCAGGCCTAACCAAGCCCCAAATCGCCTACCCGCCGTGAGGCCCAGGAGGCCCACAGCCTGGTCACCGCCGAGGCCCAGGGCCCCTGAGGCCCAAC